GTTGGGAGAGGGCTTGGGGAGGGAATGGTGGGGTTTTAACAAATTATTATGTTACGTAACTTGAACAGATGGGTTCAAAGTCCATCTTAGAAAGAACTGGACCAAAATGGGAAATTCGTGTGAAGACAGAGAGGGGGGAGGGAACGGTTCTCAAAGACTACTAACCAAGTAGTGGATGAAATAATATCATCGAGAAGTAATATTGTACTGATGCCACACTTTTCGAAGTACACTTTATGTAGCCGATTTGCAAATGAATTTACTTTGAAATGAAAAGGAAATCCGATTTCAATACAAGCCCCCCCCCCCCCCCCCATCCTCGAAAACAAACAAACCACCCTCAACCCCCACAATCCCTCACCCCTAACAAAACAATACAAAACGAAACAAAAAAACTACCTCCGGCAACAGAGTAGGCCTACTGTTTTCCCCATTGTTCCGACGCTTTATCTTAAAATTACAACACATTAGAGTTATGTAAAAAGCATGTATTATTTTCCAAACGTCAAAAACCGCAGGAAGCATTACAGAATGCCGACTACAATTTGGGGCAAACCAGGGAAAATTATTTGAACTAGTCTATACAAGAGAAGATACTAACTAAACTTGTCCTTAACAGGTGTGGATTTGAACCGCAACTTCCCAGACCAGTTCTCTAGTTCTACATCCTTGATCCAGCCGGAGACCGCGGCCATCATCAACTGGTTGAAAACAGATCCGCACTTTGTCCTGTCAGCAAACTTCCACGGCGGGTCACTGGTGGCCAACTACCCGTACGACAACTCTCCCTACGGCTACTCACAGGTACCTTATAATGTCTAAGTTTTAGTTTTAGTAGAGGTCTTACGGCGCTCGCAACTGCATAAGGTCATATGAGCGCCAGAAGATTAGAGGTGTTACAAGAGAGTAGCAAAGATAAAAAAAGAAGAAGGGGAGAAAAGGACGACGGATGTTTGATAGGAAAAAAAGGAGCAAACCTCACCAGAGCACCCGCCAACCACCCACATAATGTCTAAACAGCTGTCAACAAATAACGAAATTATGATATAATGTTTTACACCCATAGCAACACTGTAGACCTATTGTCATTTAACACCTCCGAATTTAACGTCAATCTTCAATAGAGAACCGAGCCAAAAGGGAAAATTCATGTGAAACACCTCTACTAAGGACACAACGTCGGGCTGAGCTCAGCTTTGAATCCCCCGAACACCCAATCTCACGATTACCAGTCTAGTTCACTTCCTCAAATTTACAAAGTTCTTCTATCTGACAATTTTGGCCGTTATGAGTTACTAGAAGCACGTGAGGTTAGAAACCAAATGTTCTGTCTGCTCTATCAAAACCGTAAGATTATTCGGAGTAGTTATCAAGGTTGCAAAGAATTGCTTTTGAAAAAGCTAGACATAATATGAAACTCAAAATTTTTGACTTCCAATTTGTCAAAACTTGGTACTAAGAAGTTGGAACTTTGTAATTGTAGGGTAGAGAGTAGTCTGCTACCGACGCCACCAATCAGTTGTTTGAAGTAATTATAATATAACTAAATGAACGGACTAGTATTGCCACAAAACCCTTCAGTTGATACGCATGTAGAAATAACGCTCAGCCACATCTCTTTATCAAACTTTTAAGTGGACGATTGGAATGATTTCTTTGTATTTTGAATATTATTCATATTGCTCTTGGTTTCTTTCGGCAGAAAAAAAGAAAAGAAATTGCAATAAAAATAACATTTTTGTCAACAACCCTTACCCTCATGGGAACAGCTGATATTCCTCAATTCTACTTTAAAAAAAAAAAGAAAAAAATAGAAACTGACATATACTACAGAGGCTATATAAGATCAGTTAAAACTGACAATATCTAGGTCCTCTTTGTGATAAGAAAATACTAAGGGAAGCAATCTAGATAAATATAAATTAAATGTACTTCCTTTTTGAGTTCTTCAAAATTCAGCAAGAAAAAGGATTATCCCCAACTTACTTTGCTAATTTTGAATCGCTGGTTCAGAAAAAGACACTGTTTTCCCGATAGGGCGTAGTTCTTAATATGTTTATAAACACTACTAATTTTTAGTGTGGGTGGGCAACAGCAATCGGCCGGAAGCACGGTCTGCTACGCCTACTATTGTCCTCAGGGTCACAACAGTAAAACAATATATCACAAATTAACAAACATATATTATTATACAAACAAGCAAGGAGACAAGCACAAGTACTACACTGTCCTCGGAGTCATAACGGCAAAATAACAGAAAACAAACTGGCAACACAAGACAAAACAAACGGACAAAACAAGACAAAACAAACTGATAAACACACACTAACAAACAATAAGACAATCACAACAACAATGCCCTTGCACTACAACAGCGAAACAACCCAACCACAATCTGACAAGTACACTTACAAGCAACGAGATAAGCACATTATACATGTGTTATTCCCCAAGACTACTACAGTAAAACAACACAAAACAATCTTACAAACCTACTAACAAATAAATAAGGTGACAAGCACACGTGCCTCTGCACTGTTCTCAGGGATACTACGGCAAAACAACACGAGACAAACTAACAAAACACACTAATAGACAACAAGTTAAGCACAACTGCTATTCTACCTGCGCTTCTACAGCAAAAAACAACAAGACAAACTAACAAACACATTATACAAACAAACGAAGGACACAAACAACAGGTACTACATTGTCCCCAGGGTCACTACAGCAAAACAACGCAAAAGAAACTAACAATTACATACATGTACTTATAAACGACCAGACAAGCACATATAATGTTACTCTCCTAGGATACTACAGTAAAACAACACAAGACTAACTAACAAACATTAATACTAACAAACAAGAAGACAAGCACAAGTACTACTGTCCCCATGGTTACTACTGTAACACAACACCAAAGACTCTAACAAATACAGACGTATATAAACCAGGACACAATTAGATATTATGTTATTTCCAAAAGCTACTTCAGTAAAACAACCTCAAAAACAAACTGACATACATACTTACAAACAGACAAGCACATACACATACTCGTACGTATTATTCCCCAAGACTTCAACGGCAAAACAGCACAAAAACAAACTTACAAACACATACTAACAAACATACTAACAAACAAGGATACAAACACAAGTATTACACTGTCCCCAGGGCTTCTATAGCAAAAGTCCCGACGACAGCGCGTTCCGCTCCCTAGCCTACACCTACAGCAAAGCCCACGCAACCATGTCTCTGGGGCACCAATGTCAGGGAGACAACTTCCTGAATGGCATCACCAACGGCGCTCACTGGTACGAAGTCTCAGGTACGATATAATAATAATATGTAGTATAGAGGCAGTATGGGTTTGTGCAGTCATGTCATCGACTTTTTGTTAAAATAAAACGGGTTGATAAGTCATTGTGTAAACACGACATTGTGTAAATAGGTCATTGTGTAAACATATCAGTGTGTAAACACGTCATTGTGTAAATAGGTCATTGTGTAAATATGTCTTTGTGTAAACACGTCATTGTGGGTGGCTGGCGGGTACTCTGATGTGGTTTGCTCCTTCTTTCCTATCAAACGTCTATCTTCCTAATCTCTCCTCCTTCTTTTTTATGTTAGCTACTCTCTTGTAACACCTCTAATCCTCGGCACTTATAAGACCATATTGTGTTGCCGTTTTACTCTTACTAAAACTAAACTAAAACATGTCAATGTGTAAATATGACTTTGTGTAAACGTGATAGTTGTAAACATGTCATCATGTAACACAATCATGTACTTGTGTTAAAACATCTTTTTGTAAACTCGTCATCACATCGTTGTGTAAAAAAGACACTGTGTTAATCAACACGCCATAGCCATAGTGTAAACATATTATAGTATAAACTTGTCACTGTGTCGTGTAAATAAGACATTATGTAAAAATACCGTTGTGTAAAAAAACCCATTGTGGAAATATGTTACAGTGTAAACATGTCATTGTGTAAACATAATAACTGTAATGTAAATATGTCAAGGTGTAAGCTTGTCATAATGTAAATATGTCAGAATTTGAACATGTTAAAAAGTTAACAACATATTATTGTGTATCGCTGAACGCAGGTGGTATGCAGGACTACAACTATCTACACAGCAACTGTTTTGAGATCACGGTGGAGCAGTCGTGCTGCAAGTACCCTAAAGCCTCCACGCTAAGCAGCTACTGGAGGAGCAACAAAGAGTCTCTCTTGGCCTTCATGGAGCAGGTTTTGTTCCCTTTAACATTTTATCCCACTTTTGACTTCTTTTTTTTTCATTCCTTTTTTTTAAAATACCGATTTATTTTTGTTCTCCCCAGTCCTATTCTTAGAAGGTTGTGGGGCGCTGCTGGTAGGTCCCACTTCTTTGCTTTCCAGTGTTGTTTCTTTTTGTCTTCCTTACTTTCTCGCTCTACACGATAAAATATTGATGATGATGATGATGATGATGATGATGATGATGATGATGATGATGATGACGACAACAACAACTATGATAACAATGATAATAATAATGATAATA